CTCTCTGATATTAGTTCTTTTTCTTTTTGGAAATTTGGGGAAAAAATCAAGGATTTTGAAATGAAATCTAATATAGTAATAAAGTAATTAAAATATTATTAATAGCATAATATAATTTATATAATTTGATATTTTAATTTAGAATGTGTGCGTATTACTTGCATAACATAACATTGCTTGTCAAAGTTTGCCTATTATATATAGATTTTGTGGTTTGGTAATACTATGCCATCCTAATTATAAGACCTCATTTATAATTTATAATCAAGGTCTTATAATTAGGATTGGAGGTAATAATATTTTAAATTAATTATTACATTGTTGACTTTAAATGAAATTATGTTTTTATTTGTAATAATTAAAACAAAGATATTATTATAATTTAAAAACATATTTTTGATAATTTTGATCAATTTTTAATTGTTAAGATGTCTTTAGTTATATTTTGTATTATTTTTATTTTTATTTATTTTAGATTTGTTAAAAATCAACAAACATATCGCTTTTGATAAAATATTTTTCTACTGGCCAACTCAAATATGTTAATATATTAAAATGCAAAGGAAACTATAGTATTTTCATAAAATACAAATGACATGATTTATGCTTTAAATTTACTATATAAATGATAAATTGTTAATATGATTTTTAAGCAAAAAAATAGTTATGAGTGTTTTAGTTGTTTGTGTTTTCCCCTTCGAGGCCGCCCCGCTTGTCCTGCAATGATTCTGCCTTTTTGACTCTAATGGCAATGATGATATAGGATGAAGGAATTGGATTTCCTTCTTAGCTTTTCCAAGTAACCAAATGACAAAATAGCAAATAAAAACCTTAAATTGTGATTTGGAACTCTCAATTTAAAAAATAACAAATAAAGACCCGGTTTCATATTGCAAATACAAAATCTTGGTGAAATATTTGAAATACCTTTTAGCCAAGTTGTGATTTGGTTTACTAAAGTTATCATTCGTTAACATAAACTTGCCATTTCCTATAGTCAACTTGTCATTGGGCATACTCTCAGCAAAGTGGTAATTTGGTTTACTGAAGTTGTCACTCGCTAAAGTGAAATTGTCATTTCCCACAATCAACTTGTCATTTGGTTGAATGGCATTTCAGACATTTCATAGAGATTTCATATTTTACAATATGGCACTGCGTTTTTATTTGCCATTTTCTAAATTGAAGGTCCCAAATGCAAGTTCATGTATTGGGAGTTTTTATTTACAATTTTCCCTAATTAAATTGTAATTTAAATTATTTCAAAGGAAAATGACAATAAGATGAGTATTGGATTTTGGACTTCAACAAGAGAAATTTCATTTTATTTATACATGATTAAATAGGAATTTTTAAATGTACTAAAATGATTACATTATCTTTATATCATTTGTGTTTATTCTACGAAAATATTTTGAAAATAATTGTTAATTGTACTATTAAATTTATTAATATCGTTACTTGAATTGTTGAGCACGTTACATGAGTTGAAAAATTCCCAATTTATTAGGCACTAAAAAATCTCTCAAAGTCAAAATACCTCTTAGATTAGTGATAAATGATGTTATTAGAGTTGTTAATGTCATTACAAAAGTTGATAACCATATATTATTGAAATTGCAAAAAAAAAAAAAAAACTTTCACAATTTCAGAATTTCTTAAAAGCATATTGTTAATAACATTAATAAACTTGTTGATACTGTTGGCCTTAAAAGGCATTGGGTTGTCATGCTCGGATTGAACCCATTGAATTTGGGTAAGATTGGCGAAGTCAGTGTGGGCTTAAAGAGTGTCATGTGGCTCTTACTGTTATGATAATAATTGCAGCAAGCAATTTCCTACGACATAGTAAACTAAGATTTGAATCTTTATCGGGAGAAGTATTCATATTTAGTATCTAATAATACTTTAAATAGGATCACTTTTAATAAAAAGATACTTATGTTTTAGCAAATAATAATAATAATAATATTGTAGCATGCAGTTGGAGCTCATGGAGGTTTTCTATTCTTCATGGATTTTTATTTTGGGCCTTCTAGCTTTTTTATTTTTGACATGGAGCCAAGGTGTCCCCAGGTCATATTAAAGTTAGAGTTAAGACTAATTTATATTAGATCCAGAGCATTTAAGATAAAGTCTTAATAAATACACTTTTTAATATTTGAACTTGCTCTCTTCTCCTTAAGAGAGGGTGAAGCCGTTACCACCTTAATCAATAACTTGTTAGCTTAGATATTCTAACTCTGGTAGCATGCATACCTCTTGTGTTATAATTCTTAAATTTTTTTTTTCATCTCTCTTTTTCTTTGAGTTTTTTCTTCTAGAAAAAAATTTCTTTTTTTGTTTAGATTTTTATTGTCTTGTGTTGGTGGGTTATTCGGATGATCTGTTTTGCCTAATAATTTTCCCCTGCCTCTTTTCTGCAAGTTCTTTTTTCTTTTGGAAATTTGAAATAAAATCAAAGGATTTTGATTTCATTGTAGTAAAAAACATATTTGTGATAACTGTAGTAAATTTTCAAAGTAAACAAAATTATTTTCAGTACATTTTTATATTTCTATTATTAATTAATTTAAATTGAAGATAAATGCCTTTTATATTTTTGAAATACTCTCAAAATAAATTAGAGGATTCGAACAGTTTTAGTAATTGGAAGCCTAAAGAAACCAATTCAAGAGATGGAGATTTATTAAAAATCAATCAATATATCCTTTTAAAACAAATTTCTTTTGAAAATTTAAATATATTCATATGTCAATTTACATAGTAACATTTAAATTAAATAGTATCATTATTCATAAATATAAATAATGCAATTTATTTTAATTTTTATATAATATCCGGAAAAAATTATATGTTGCAATCTCTATATTACATTATTTGTTTGACAAATTATTAATTTTTTAAAATTTTTTAATATTATTATTTCAATTCAGCCTCTCAATTCTATAGAGACATTTTAAAATGCTTTAGTAGTTATATTTTTGCACCATTTGAAAATTTTTATTTGTAATTATGTATCATTTTCTGACTAACATGTTTGCTGATAATCAATACTAATTGACCTAACAACCATAACATTTTTGCTCCAACTAAAAATATTTATATGCATTTTTGCACTGAAAAAACAAAAGGTGAATGGAATCTTACCATAAACAAGGTTGTCTTGCTAACTTAGTTCACACAATATATGTACAAGTAAATAAGATCCTCACCAACAACTAGTGGGCTTTGGGTGTATGAATCACGTGGTTGCTTGGTGAGCTCAAAATTCCCACTACAACAGACAACTAATGATTTGACGTGATACAGTGCAGGTGCCTATTGGTTGATAATTCAGTACATCGTGCTCAGAAAAAGCATATCAAAATTAATACACACTTTGATAACTAATATCATTATTTTTGCCCTCTTTGATAATGATACTACCGGTTCGATTCTCTGTGTGGAGCGCCACAAAACTAAACTAAAGATGTTATTAACATGTAAATTTATGTTTATATATTTATTATGTATGAATTTTACAAAAGAGTACTCTAATATCATTTTTCTCCTCTAATTGTTGATAGGGCTTTTTATAGTTTCAACGTAATGGTCAAGTAGAAAAATAAGCCACCACCAATATAGATTCTCCCACAAGTATGTTATTCTGAGTTAAGTATATGTTTATAAATTTTTTAGATAATCAAAGTTAATGTTTATAAATTTTTTTAAATAATCAAAGTTAGATATTCAATTTTATTTTTTATTTTGTTAGTACCTTTAACTTGGGAATGTTGAATACGGATATTATACGATCCGCTATATGAATGACATTATTGAGATAGGGGTCACTGAGAAGTTAGACAAAATAAATATAAATTATATTGTAATTCTTCAATTTTTTTTCACATTTTTGATCTAGTTAGTTAATAACTTTGTTATTTTTAATTTGTAGGCATTTCAAGATAGTGTGACATATGATTATGAAGAAATCAACTCAATAGGGGATGCTTTGTCAATAACATTATTTGAGAGCTTTGAAAATGTGGATTAGTTAAGTCATTCACATTTTAGTTCATTATTTATTATATATGTTTAGTTGTAATACTGATTGGTTAAGTTGTTAATTATTAGGTATAGTTGATAGAACAAGAATTGGAAACATTAGTTATATTAATGTTAGGTTTGAGTTTATGTCTTGAAATAATTTTGCATTCTTTTGTTATGTTGGTTGGAATTGGTCTGTCATTGGTTTGGCATTGCATGGAAGTTGTATAGAAAATTGAATCAAAATTTTTTTTTTTTAAAAAAAAATTGAACCTTTCACAACAGTTATTTATATAACCGCCATGAAAAATTATTTTTAACTGTGGTTCTTTGTATAGCTGCCATAAAAGTTGGAAGACTTTTCATGGCAGTTATTTGTATAAAACTATTATGGAAAGTTAATTTTTCATGACAATTCATAGCCCCTGTGAAATGCTTTGCTTATGGTAACGACGGCATTCACTGCACCTCAAGAACTGCCATGAAAAGTCTTTTTTAACTGCTGTTAAAGTTGTTTTCTGTAGTAGTGTTGGTAAGCTTAAAATTCCAATAACAAGAGAGAACTAATGATTTGGTGTGATAGAGCGCAGGTGCCCATTAGCTGACAGTACACCATATCATACTCGCACGAAGCGTATCAAAATTAATTTACACTTCGTTCATGATCAAGTATTAGCCAAACAACAGGCGGTCATACATAGTTTTTTTTTTAAAAAATTTTTTTTATCAACGGGTATTTGATGGCTTTTCTGGATCCCATTATCAAATATCCGAGTAACTAACTAATCCAGTTCGTAGAAGTATGGGCCCACTATGAGGGGCACCTCGCTTCCTCCAAGTAATTAGGACTAGTATTATTTTGATTAATGATTATAAGATGACCTTATATATACTCTATTATCACGGCAAATAAACTTCATGTATTGATTTCATAAATTCATAATTCATTTCAATAATTAATTATTTTGGATTTAGGTACAAGTGAGGACAAAGAGTGAACAACCATGTGGTCCAACATTTGCAAATATTGTCCCATTTGTAACTTTGTTATTCTCATTCCACACATCTTGGCCATTGCAATTTGCAAGGCTTCTTCCTGCAAGAAGCACATTTCCCAGTGCTGACATATTCATTACCATCCTTGATATCTCCTGATTTAAATTGAAATATGCAACATACACTTTTCCTGAACAATGAAACATACAATAATATACCAACATTAGAAACCATTGCTGTGATGATGATGATGATAAGAATAATAGAGAGTTATTTTCATTGGTAAAAATTCTCAATAAATTTTATAACAATTCTTGAAGAGTTTAGAAAGGTGAAGTGTTGAAGAGGGTATATGAGTATGAGGCTAATATTTGTCTCTAAGTACTTACGGTTTGGCCCCATATATTAAGGGCATCTTAAAAATTAGAACCGATTAAAAAATTTGGCAGGATTTAACCACATGTAAACTAATAATAAATCTTGAAATATTGCCTAATTAAGTTATCAGTCTCATTTTAAAAACATTAGTCTATTTATCCTGCAAACTTTAAGAGAACTTCACATCTACTCCTCTAGCCTTATTTATAAGGTACTTCCAACATATTTTATATAAATTAAGAAAAGCTTTAAAATACATATTAACTCTCTATTAAAATATAACAAATTTTTAACTTTATTCTTTTTTAATATATATACTTTTCAAAAGAGATAACTACCCACATTATAATAAATTAACAAAACACTAAAAATTTAATAAAATAACTTACTAAAAAAAATGTTCTCTCTCTACCTTATAAATAGGACCAGAAGAATATATATAGGACTCTCTTAAAGAATAATGACAGAGAGTATAAAAATGGTCGAAACACAAACGCTTGTTTCCCTTCTACTATCTCTTTTTCCAATATTCTAAGAACTGATACTGTTGATTAGTTAGAAACATACCATCATTTCCAGTCGCCATCCAAGATCGAAGCCCGAGAGTTTCGAAAGGTAACTATCAACAAAAAAGGGAAACACGTCAGGTGTTTGATATAAAAAGTAGTTAGGAATTAGATTTGATTCTATACTTAAAATCTCAATCTATTATGTTTTTTATATTTTTGCAAAATAGTCCCGTTGATTCTAAGACAAAGGATAATTCTAATTATCTAATATATATAATTAAAAAGAATATCCTAAAAGGATCAACATATATTTATGACAGATAACTAATTTTATTAATTTTTTTAATAACTTTATTAATACTTATAACCGAGGAAGGTGTAAAGATCCAATAGGAAAAAAAATGACGGGGACATAATTAAAAATAATTAAAATAAAATTATAAAGACTAACGAATTGATTTTCCTGTGAAATAATTCTGCGATTCAGTCACATTTATACAGCTTTAATTTTCTAAAAGTTAACTTAGCTACATCTTATCTCATATCCATTGTTAATTTATCTGACTTTCCTAAAACCTTTTTTTAATTTAAGGGTTAGTTAGCATTGCGTGCATCTTTATAACTACTACCTTTAGTTTTAATTATAAAACCTCGTTTGTAAATTAACAAGATATTATAATTAGGAGTATAAAACATAAAATTTTTTTCCTTGAAAAATTATTGAGGAAGTGACATAGACAAAATCATTTTTTCTTGATAGTGAATTAACTTTAAATGTAACAAAAATACCAGATCAATGGTACACATACCCCCGTATTGTTTGCGCTATGGGAATTAATCTGGAGAACGGTAGGATTTGTGATAAGATTAAATGTTTTTTCATCAAGATTCCTCAGGTCACCTCCATACATGAGGGGAGATTTTGCTATACTCCACAAAGTCATCTGTCAAATTAATTAATTAATTCAGGATATACTCTAATAAAATTAAAAGCAAATCGATTCATTTGTATATAATTAATAGATTGTGAAAATGACCTGGGTTGTTTGTTCTGTGAGGCTTAGATCAGTAAATCTGTGGGGACCTTGCTTCACACCTATATATCAACAAGAAAATAACAGCCAAAAAAGGTATTAGTTTTACAGTAATTTTATTCCCAGAAAGCTCATTTTCAAATTTTCTATTATTGATTGCATATTATATTCATTTATGATCACACTTAAGGATGCCAAAAGATGAGCTTTATCCATGATAAGTAAATTATAAAAACTTGTTTTAAACTTTGATGAAATTGCACGTGTATCCTTCTTATTTTAAAAACTGATACTAGTTAACAATCCTTTAATTCTACGAAATTAATTATACGGAAACTCACATAGATAACTCTTCCAAAACAAAGATTGTTTTGTATAAACTTTCTTAAATTTTATTGGATTATTGCATGAAGATACATGTATAATCAAAACACACACACACACATCTTTCTTGATGGTAAAAGGGATGTCTTTATAATTTTTTGAGAAGCTAGGAAGTGGTATACATATCATACTCTCTGTTTTTTATAAAGAGGTGTTTGCTGCTTATATATATATATATATATATATATATATATATGTATATGTGTGTGTGTGCGTGGAAGCTTGTATAAATAATTTATATTTTATGACCTACTTGGTAAGTTAGAGACTAAGATCCTATTTGTTACGAAACATTAAAAATAAAAGATGGAAATGTTATTAACAAAAATAATTAAAAAATATTTAGTATAATTAATTGCTTCATAACAAACGGAATGTAAGTGATCAGTTTAAGATTTTTTTTTTTGAAATAAATTATAACCTGGATCAGTTAGCCATCCGAATGGAAGCATGTCCAGATCAGGCCATGACCTGCCATTTAGACCTCTGCTTCCAATCAACTCAGCAGCAGCAAAATTCCTGAAAAAGAGGTGAGAAAAACTTGTTAGGTGAACTCGTTGATAATAAAGAAGACGCAAATCTTATTTTTCTTAATCTTAAAATATAGTCCCTCTGGTTCTTATTAATTATAAAGCACTTCCAACTAATTGTCACATATTAAAAAAATAACAGTCAAGTCATTAAATTTGTATCAAATTGATTTTTTTTTAATTTTGCCCCTCTTTAAATGATGTGATTTATTTTTTTTTCAAATTTAAATCTCAATTAATAACAAGTCTAAAATGGAAAAAAAATTAACTAATGAAGACGTTGGTTTCTTAAGACAAAAAATTGTTTATAGAACATACTCTATAATAGGGGCTGGATGGAGTTGTTTACATATAAGCAATACTCATACTCTCTTTTCATAAGAAACAGTATGTCTCCCAATTGTCTCCTTAAAAAATATAAGAAACAACTTTTTTGTTAAAAATTTTGAAATAGTCTTTTTTACTTTCATCCTCATTAAATATGTGCTATTTATTATCTCTCGATGTGTAATAAATTTCTACTCATTATCTCTCATGTGTTCTCTTTATAAATAAGAGTATAATTAAAAAATATATATATCTCCTACAATTATTATTTTTAACTAAATTTAACTAATACTTTAAACCGTGCGATTTTGATAATTATTTTTCATAATAACTAATAATTAATGATGACCTTGCAACGTCGAAATGATCTGCCACGTGTTGCCACTGATCCCAATCATCTCCGGTAACACGGTACATGTTAACCATTCCACTGATTTGTTGAGCCATTTGTGGTGTTGCAGACACTCCAGGAGACAAAGAAAGCAGTATGGGACGATTAAGCTCCTTCAATATCTACATACACATACACGTACGACATGTGCTTTAATTAATTTATTGGTTAATTTAATTCATATGAAAGAAGAATATGTATATATATATTATTATATACTTACTCCCGCCCTTAAAATATAAAAACTTGTTTGATTTTTATTTTGATTCCAAATATAAGATCCTAATCCACATTTTTTCTCATATTTATTTATTTTTTTCTGAGGTAGTCTTTATAATAATAGTAATTCTAATCAATATATTTAATTAACAAAAATATTTTAGAAAAACAATACCTATTTATTAACTTAATTAGTTTTCTTAATTTACTCAAATTAGTTAACTAACTCTTATATTAAATAAGTTTTAAATTTTGTTAGCATCAATATGAGTGATGGGTGAGAGCAGAATGTAGCATACCCCAGATATTGTAGTTATTTCATCTACATCGAAGTTTTCACCAAACACGCAATCAAGTTTCACTGCAAAAAAAAAAAAAAAAGATCATATAAATCAAAGCTACTAATAAGATATTCCTCCAATTCTTAATATAATATCTATTTTGTAATATAATTTATATTACAAAATAAGTCTTATATTAAGAACAGAGAGAATACATTTGTTTGAAGATGTACAAATGATAACATTTTATTTTTTTATAATTTTGTAAGTTTATATTATATTGGATTGGAGCAATCATGACCAACAAACACTCAAGAATTTCATCAAGAATTCTACTCCCTCTGATAGGATCTATTTAAGGATATTGCTTTAATTCTAAATGTAAATCAATCACTCTCTCTTCAAAATACACAAGTTTTTTCCCATTATTCTTTTTAGCTGTACTTGTAAAGAGAGTTTAATTCTATCGATTGGAGCAGTTCAGAACGTAAATGATTAGATATGATATTTTAGATAAACTAATACATTTTTATTATAAATAACTAACTAATCAAATTAATCAAATGACAATAGCAATTAACCCAGCAACAACCAATTTAACCAAGGGCAATTAGGTCACTTCACAAAAACTTAATCTCATGGTAATCATTATGAACTTCATAGAAATTAAGTCCCTTCGAAGTGCATTTTAGAATTCCTATATATTTCAATGTTGCTTATGTCTTTATTTGCTCCCTCAATTATATACCTATATGTGTGTGTGTGTGAATGAATTTGTTCAAGGCATAAAATAATACTCCTCTCATCTTTAATATAAGACTCATTAAACTAATTTGATTAGATTAAATGTAAATTAGTTAATTATAAGAAATATGAAACATTTTTTCTAAAATACCATAATCATCTTTCTTAACATCCTCTCTCTCTTTCTTACTTGATTATAATTGAGGAAGTGTCTCAATAGGGGCAATTTAGAAAAGATTAATAAATATAAAAAAAGTCTTATATTTAGAACCAAAATCAAGTCAATAACTAAGTCATATGTTAACGATCTGGGGAGTAGTATATAGCTGAAGAGTGAGAGTACCAAAATCAACATTCCATGAAGCATATAAGTCATAGACAGATTTCAAGTAGGCCTTTCCAGCTCCCAACGTTAGATTGATAGCCATGAAACTTTCAGGCATCCAGCTGCAAGCCCTTGACTCTATTCCTATGTCTCCTGCGTGCCACTCTCTACCATCTTCCTTATAAACACCTCCCTGAAATAAATAATATTAATTAACAAAATAAACATAGATTAGTTTAGATATGTTAATAATTAAAACGTGTACGTAATTAATAATTATTCTGGATCTTTTAACTTTAGCAAGTGATATGTACATTTAAATCTCAAACTTCTTTCTTAAACTTCCTAGCAGTGAACAAGAATCCTTGAAAACAAGGTAATTATGAAACTTCTCATACTTGCCAATTATTGATGAATTAATAAGATACTATAAAAATATAAAATGTTTTATTCAAAAATAGTAGTCTCTAAGAAAATAGCACTGTCAGTTTCGAATTTGTAAGCAGAAACATATATCAACGTGTTTACCGCGAACAAACAAAAGAAAATTCATTTCAACAAGCAAGAATATAATGAGCAAGTGGTATGAGATTTTGGATTATCCCTTCCATTAAAGAGATCTAAATCAAACAAAGCATTAAATTTTAGCTGTTTATTCATAAAAATTTGTTAAAACAAAGGAATACCAATGCAAAAAGTCCAATAAATTACAAATTTTGGTTAGAAAAATGACAATAAAATCTAAATTGTTCACTTATCATTAAGACTTTTGATGATTATATTCTTTCCTTCAAACCTCATTAATTTTTTGTAAATTTTAATTTTAATAGTTCAAATGCCATAATTAAAATCCTCAAATAAATTTTCCTTGATTTATTAAATTGAAGACATAGGTATACGTACCTATATATACTCCTCTGGTTCTATTTATAAGGTACTTTTAACATATTTCACACAGACTAAAAAAACCTTAAATTGTGTTAACTCTTTATTAAAATATAATAACTTTTCAATTTTATCCCTATTTAATATATACACCTTTCAAAAAAAAAACTATTTGCATTATAATAAATTAAAGACAATATAGTACATTTATGGTAAAAATTTAATGGAGTGACTTATAAATATGACCAAAAAAACCTTTTCTCTCTACCTTCTAAATAGAACTAGTGGAGTATATGTATATATTAAATTGAGTAAGTGGCATGAGAATTTGGATCTCTTCCATTTAAGAGATCTAAATTATTAAAAAAATATTTAAATTGTAGCACTTTATTTTCCCAATTAAAACCCTCAATTAACTTTTCCTTAATTTATATATTAAATTGAGGACATAGATAGACATACCGTGTTAGTATCTAAAATGGGAGTGTTTTGGCGAACAGCTTGAGAGCTAATTCCAGCCATGAGATGAATGCCAAACTTCACACCCATGCTGTGAACTATATCGGCCACTGCTTTGAATCCTTTGCCACCAATGGAAGATGGCCACCTGGCTCCATCAGGATGCAATCTCCCCCATCCATCCGAGTTTTCTTTCCCAAACGACTGATCCCCACCGTCCAGACTCCGATACCAAAGAAAATCCACCACCGCATACTAGAGAGTAGAGGGAGAGGGAGAGAGCAATTTCATTAATCTATCATCGAGAAAATTATATCAAGTCTATCCATTTTATTAACTATTTGCAAATGGCCGTCCTAAACAAACAACAGACGATAAGGGCAAAACATAACAAAATATAGGGAGTCAGTGAAAAATTGATATATAAAATTATTATGCTTTTTCCATAACAAATTAAAGATGACTAATTCATTTTTACATGTTTCTTTATGATTCATTGTAATTTAATTATTAATATTTCTCCAATCCTTAATATAACCTTCAGTTGACTAATTAAAAAAATCAACAAAACTAAATAAATTACTTAACTATAGCATATACTACATGATCTCTTTAGAATGCTGATATGTATTATTAGATTATATATAAATTTATAAGTTAGATAATTAATTTAGAAAAAATAATAAATATAAATATTTAAGGTAATTATTAATTAATATAGTCTTATATTAAGAATCAAAGGTATTATTATCCTTTAGACTGATATATATATTATGTTACGGATCTAACCAAGGATTAAAAACAAGGATGCGAATTTTAATTATTATACAAAGAAAATCCACCGCAACATATTACAAAAACAAAAACAAAATTAACCCGTGAGAACTTTTATATTAAACCTGTCATTTTCATTAACTATTTGCCAAATGGTCCTTAACGATAAGGACAAAACTTCAAAAGCGTCATTGAAGAACTGAAATAAAATTGCCCTTTTTCAAGAATATATTAAAATATGACCATTCGTTTTTATATGTTCATTTGTGATTCAGTGTAACTTAACGTGATATAGATGTTAAGAGAGAGAAGCCCCTTGTTTGGCCCAAAAAAAAAAAAACAGAGAGAAAAGGCCCTTATTTTCCCTTCACTGCTATTAGATTTAATAGTTCACATTAAATATTTTATGAAATTATTATTATTATTTTATATAAGAACGATATTTATAAAATAGTTTTTCCTTATCTTTTTAATACAGCTCTAAACCATTCAAATAATATTTTAAAAGCTTAAATTTATGTATGTATTTTTAATATAAAATTATAATAGTAGTGTTATAAATATTAATTTCAAACTCTTAAAATGTTAATCCAATAATAGAGAGAAAAGACGAGGAAAAGATCCTCTTCGATTGTGAATCCGGTGAAGGGCTAAAAGCAAGGAAGATAATTTAATTATTGCACCTCATATCCAAAAGGAAGAAGACGCTTGGAAAGTACTTCCGCATTCTGTAAGAATTCTCCTTCAGAAATTATCCAACTGAAGGAATCGTAGGAATTCCAGCCTCTTGGTGGAGTCATAGCATTTTGAGACAACACACTGAAAATTAAAAACATGATTAAAACATTCAAATTAGTAAGAATCGTGAGAGCAAAACGAAAAGACTTCTTTTTTTTTTTAGCAAAAAAAAAAAAGACTTCTTGTTCTTACAAATGAAAACTAAATATGCCTTGACTTCTGAAGACATATCATCGTACCTTTGAGTAAAGAGACAGACGAGGAAGAAGAAGGAGAAAGACACAGAGAACTCCATAGTTGTTGCTTTGTGATGATTGGTATTTACACTTATTGTATGTGTTCCTTTTATATTCGGGTATTGGTGTTTATGTCCCCATAAAGACGCGAATTTGAATTCAACGCACCCCAAAAAAAAAAAAAAAAAGCACCATGTGATGTTAGACGTTTTGTATATGGACAGTAGTAATGATTTCATGATGAACGGCATGTCGTTTCTCTTGGTCTTTCCTTTAGGGCATTTGCTCTGACCCTTTTGGTGATGTGGGTGAAAAGACATATACAGCGAACCATTATATGTGTGTGAGTATACATTCCGTTTACGTAAAGTTGCATTGGGGAATTTCAATGTCTTTCAATTCATGTTTATCAAAAGTGCCACCTTTCATACTGTTTATGCAGTGAATTAATACCAACCACTCCTCCACCCCTCCCCTCCCCTTCCCCCCCCCCCCCAAAAAAAAACCAAAAAATAAAAGCACTTAAATATTTGTGTCCCTATTCACGAAACTGAATCCTCATTCATAATTAATGAGAATAATTTATTGAAGTCTTGGCTAGGAAATAAATAAAAGAATTCATTGCAGAGAGAACGAAAATATTTGCCGACTCAAATGAGATAATATTAATCCTTTTGATTTTTATTATAAGTTTTAAATAATTAATTCACGAATAAGAAATAATTAGTTAAAATTAATTAAAAATAATAAATAAGTTAGAAATATGCTTTTATTTCTAAATATGTCTTGATAATAAATAAGAAAAAAATAAAAAAGATGTGTAGGAAAATGTAATAAGAAAGTGCGACAAATGAGAGAAAATAAATAATCAAGAACAAAATTTAAAAAAAATGTATTAAATGTTCAAATATATCCATTTTTTTTACTTGGAAATTGTATTTTCATTAATATCATCAAAGAAAAGATACAAAGCCCAAAATAAACATAAACAGTTCAAAAAGAATAGGCCCAAACACATTACAAACCCAGGAAACCCTAGACAAACCTAACCCTGACCAAAGAAAAAGGGAGCGGCCACCATCAACATCCTTTCACTGGAATCTGTGCGTAGAGAAAGGTTGTCATTGCCAACCAGGCCATTGTAAGGGTTAGGGGCTCAATGAATCACCCCAAAGGACGCATCCCTCTTATCAACAAGAAACTAACCCTTTTGGTTGAAGGAAAACCTCCACGAGTAGAATTCATGGAAGTAAAAGCATCCACAGACATTATCAAGAAAGATGAAAAATGAGAAGGAGATGTCCTCATGGTTGACTACACAGTGAACAAAATGTATACTTCAGACTTGCCACCACTAACAAATTACCAGAGTCTTATGAGAAGTAGAGCCTCCAATATGTAAGATTGTCATCAAAACCCAATCCCCAAAATAGTGAATCAAAGTCGCCTATTAAGATCTATCACTATCAGGCCCTTAAATCCATTTATTGCCACAAAGACATGCCACACCATGATTAAAAGCTTAAAAGAAAAAACAGAGACGAGACTCAGAACAACACATAAAACGAACATCTTTGCCCTAGCCTGAACCGGAGAGGGAGATGCCATGAAAGCTGCTCATTTGATGATAAGAGAAAAGCTCCCACCACCCACTAAGGCTGAGAGAAGGGGAGAGAGGGTCTCCTCCACAGTGATAAAGTTGATTAAAACAAACTCAAATTAAAGTTTACAAAATCAACCACACTCTTTCCCAAATTTAAAACTTATAAATAGGAATGGAGGAAATATTTAGGAAGAAGATTCTAGGCACTCTCTCGTCACTCCAAATTCTTAACTAATAGTACTCCCTCTGACTCTGTGCCTAAATATGGTACATAATTTTTTGGGAAAATGACATAAAAAGAAACCTAAAAACCTTATATGCCAAAATAGGAAGCTAAGCACATCATATGACAGATTAGGAAGTCTTGCCTAATGTGGGATTTTGGAACTGTTATTAAATTACGTAAAAGCCATTGTGCCAGAGTTTGAAAACAAAGAGAGAGGCGCGAATTGACCCTGTCATGCTTCCTCGTTTCTCGCTTCTACCATCCCCACTGCTACCCTACAAACGCTGGCAAGTTGGAGAGTTGATAAGGCCGGAATAGTGTGTGCATAAGAGAGGAAAGGAGTTTGAAGCAGAAGGCTATTTTGTTTGAAGGGCAAGCATTTATGGCTCTGGCTGATTGGGTAGAAGGACGAAGGTTGGCAGTCAGTTATTAACTATTACAGTTAGCAAGCATTAGTGGCATTTGACTGAGGTAAGTTTAGGGATTTAAGTTTCATCTAGTGGTCAACGTTACTAGGTGACTAGGGGAGGGAATGATTACTCAATATTTAGAAATGACACGATTAAGTTTATGAATGACTGGAATAGTGATTCAGAGTTTATTGTCAGTCTCTGCGATGTGCTAATGTTTTTTATAACGAAGTTGAGCACTGTGATGTTAGTGAAAAATGGTTTTTCGAATGACTAGGAAAATTCTTTGATTGACTGGAAAAATTATATAAACGAACTGGAAATTATAATAACATATTGGTAATAATAATGAAGGAACAGGAAATAACCATATTCGTAGTAATGACTATATTGGTAATGATAATGAAGGAACTAGAAATGACTATATTCATAGTAATGACCATATTCTCAGTCTATAATGATCATATTGGTGATGACAATGAATGAACCGGAAATAACCGTATTCATAGTAATGACCATATTCTCAGTCTGTAATAACCAAATTGGTAATGACAATGAAGGAACTAGAAATGACAATAACATATTAGGAAATAACTAGAGATTTGGTATATGTATAACATTTACTACTTAATGAGCATATATTGATGACTTTACATAATTATATGAGATGGTGTTGGAAGAAGGAAAAGGATCCACAAGCAAAGGAGTACACAACAGATTCGTGTTATTTACTAACATATTAGGAAATAACTAGAGATTTAGTATATGTATAACATTTACTACTTAATAAGCATATATTGATGACTTTGCATAATTATATGAGATGGTGTTGAAAGAAGGAAAAGGATCCACAAGCAAAGGAGTACACAACGGATTCGTGTTGTTTACAAGGGACCGTATGGCAAAACGAGGGGAGAAAAGTAAAAATGCAGCAGAACAAAATATTGAAATGGAAAAGACATGGAAGGCGTTGACTCAAAAAGTGAGAGATGGGTATACTGAGAGGGCAAAGAAATCGAAGCCAGAGAAAGGTGAGAAGAAGAAGTATGATGTTCCCTTGTACACCTGGTACTCATTGCCCGAATTTAAGTTATTGGCTGAGTTTGTGAAAAAGAATGAGCAGTTAAGGTAGAAAGTTGAGATGATGGGATTTGGGAATTTGCTTAATATGAATGTGAAGCAACTTCCACGTGATCTACTTGTGTCATTGTTGAGATCCTATAACCCTCCAACACATTTTTTAACCATTAAAGGGCAAAGGGAGACAATTGAAGCAAAAGATGCTCATGACTTTCTAGCTATACCTTATGATGGTGGGGAGGAAGTCAAATATGATGTTGGTGAGGATGACCCAACATCTAAGAGATTAAAAGAAACATATTGGAATGTTCTATTTACCTAAATACTGAAGAAGATATTATCTAGGATAGAGAATGACAATTTTAAGTTCCTATTTATGCGTTATATAGTTGGGTTTTTTTATATCTTGGGTCAAGCATAACTGTATATTTAAGTTTGTTGAAAGTGATACATCACACAATAAACAAGTTTGGAAATTATGATTGGTCAACATATATTATTAAGAAGCTGTGGAAGAAAATGGAAGACTTTGTGAAGATGACAAAGAAGAAGAAGAAGAAGAAGAAGAAGGAACTTGTCTTTATTTGCTGCTGGTAAGTGAATATTTTTATTTGTTATATAATTTTATTTTATGTTATTGTTGCAAAAGTGTGACCTGTATTTTTTTGGTTTTGTAGTTATATTTTGCTGAGTGTTTCGCACTGGGGAAAATTTTTAAGCGGGGTTCAACAAGTGCCATTAAATTTTAGATTGAGGAGAGGATAAAGGAGATAGTGGAGAAAGAGAGAAATAGCCACATGGGAATATTTTATGGAACCAGTGGTAGTGAGATTTACTCAGTAGGGGATGATGACAACTCAATTCTACAATCTTTAGATCCGGTATGTGGGAATTTAGAAAAGTTAATTTGGTTGACCATTGCTCAAGTTATTCTATTAGCAAGTTTGATACTTGATATGACAAGACTTGATTTGTAAATTACCAGACAGATACTGGGAATGATAATATTGATCAATTTGTTGCTTATCTTCATTTATTGTGTATGCAAGCATTGAAGGAGTTAAGGGGTCATTTCATAAAGAAGCTTGAAGAAAGCCAAAGGATGTTAATAAAGGCTCTTGATGATGAGCTAATAAAAGTGTAAATTGGAAGAAATGTGAAAGTGAAGGGGATGAGGAATCAAAAGGCCGCTACTAAAGAAAGGGGTGAAACAGTTGGTAATGTAGGAGAAAACATTGCTGATGAAGTTGCCAATGAAGAAGCTAAAGACATTGACCAAGTGGTAGAGGAGATTACAAGAGAGGTTACAGCGGGAAGTAGAGATAAGGAACTTGATGAGAATGATACCAGCAAAGGAGATGATGATCAAGATGAGCATGAGGAAGAACATGACATTCATGATAGGGAAGGAGGTTGTGATTATATGGTTGAGGAGGTGGAAGATGAGGGGGAGCATGATGGTCATGGAGGAGATGAGGATGAGGATGAGAAAGAACATACCATGATGATAGGAAAGGAGGTCATGATTATGTGGTTGAAGAGGTGGAGGATGGGGATGAGAATGAAGGTTACGAAGGGGATGATGAGAAGGAGGTTGAGGATTTTGATGATGATGAGGGAGAGGAAGACACACATGCAAAGACTATAACCCCTACCAATGTTCCTTTGCTGTTGGATCGTGAATGGAAGAGCAGTGATAGTGGGGAGGAAGCAGAACCTCAAAAATTGACTGAATTGAGG